GCAGCCAGGGACGGGCCGGACCCTGCCTCCCACAGCCAGCGACTCACACGGTGCTCGGTCAGCACCTGCTGTGCACACAGACACGTGAGGCCCTCCGGGAAAACGGGGAGGAGAAACAAGGAAGGGAGTCCTTCCCACGCTGGATTCTGCCCCGAGAGCGCACAGCGGAGATAAGGCAGATAGTCCTAAAAAAGAAAAAAGAGAAAACCCGTAACACAAAGCAGAAGGAAACAGCTGGCATAGAGGGACGCACAGCTGGACAAACAAACATATCCAAAGAAGGATGAGGGAAGGGCCAGGTGCCAGCAGGGCTGGGCCTTGAGCAGAGGTAAGATCTGAACACAGGGGTGGGGGCCCGGGGGGAGAGGAGGGTTGCCGTGTAGGGACTCCTGTCTGGCTCAGCGGGGGCCTCAGGAGTCAAGGAGGCTGGAGCCGAGGAACCCTGAAAGTGAGGCAGGCACAGGCAGCTTGCGAGCTAGTCGGCAAGCTGCCCGGCACGTGAAAGAATTCTCTAGAAGGGCAAGCATCCCAGGAGGAGGCGGTCAGGGGGGAGAGTGCCTAGCCAGGGGCTTTGGGGCTATACTAGACGGGCTTCACGGTGCTTTCCAAACTTCCATCCGCTAACCTTGGGGTCACCCATCAGAAGGTGCTCGAGGGAGGGGATAGAGTGAGCAAGGATGGACAAGGCAAGCCCGGAGGCAGGGCTGCAGGAGGCACCTGAGCCGGCCTGGGGCTTAACGAGAACCACACGGGAGCGGAGAGCGCGGAGCCCCGACACGGCCGGGGCTCACAGACCCGGGAGCCGGCTGGCTGTCTCCTGTGGGCCGTGCCAGAAACTCGGAACCAGGGCTCAGGAGAAACTGGGACGGAAGGTGAGTTGGAAGGAGAATGCACAGGGCGCTGCCCTCAGGGGGGCGAGATAGGATCCCGAAAGTGAAGCCAGCTCGTGTGCCCAGTCGCTCAGGAGTGCCCGACTCTCTGAGACCCCGTGGGCTGTAGCCCGCCAGGCTCCTCTGTCCATGGGGACTCTCCAGGCAACAATACCGGAGCGGGTTGCCGGGCCCTCCTCCAGGGGCTCTTCCTGACCCAGGGGTCTTCTTCATTGCAGGCAGATTCTTTACCATCTGAACCACCAGGGACGCCCAAGGCCACCTTACCCTGGACCCACCCACATGCTCACAGAACAGCACGCGAAAGGCAGAGAGCAACTAGGTTCTCTAGAAACGTCTGCTGTGCAAAAATCTACACCAGTGGAGAGGATAAATAAACTGGGTCGGGGACAGAAGGCAAAAAAACCGCCATCAGTACCTTAACAAACACACAGGAAATATATCTCCTAAAGTATAAAACACAGTTTCTTAAATACTAGTCTTTTATCCTTAGGCTAGATGTTCAAAAATGGCAAATTCACTAAATTACATCCTTAAAACGTGTGAGTTTCATTGTATGCAAATTACACCTCAATAAAGCTAATGTGAAAAAAAATCATGTTTTAAGAGAGTAAACAGAAATACGCACACTTACATAGAGACCAACACCAAATATTATTTAACTCTTGAAGATAAAGACTGAGGGTGATTCTTTTCCTGTGTGCTTTTCTGTGTTTTCTGGATTTTATTAAACCAGCATGAATTACCTTCATAAGCAGAAAAAAAAAATTTAGTTTTAAGTATCCATGGCTTGCCTATGTTTTCATGAGCATGGCGCAGGGGTGTTGGACTGTAAATACAACGGTAACCTGTCCAAGGAGCTTCCCAGCAACCCGGGGCATCCTCGGTGGGAGAGGGAAGCTGCCGGAGGAGGGTGGGCATAGCCCCACATCCACCCCACGCTGCCAACACACACACACACACACACACACAAACGCCAGCCCCAACTCTAAAGGAACGCTTCCAGAGTCTCTCCGAGCGTGTTTTGCATGGCCCTGGGGTACACTCGGGTACAGTTTCAGCCTGTTTCAGGTTCAGCTAGCCTGAGCCACCGTGAGAAGGCTGGTCCGCGTTTCCTGTTTTCAGTCGGCCCCACTTCCGACTGGGCTGCTGCCGGGGAGCCTGGCAGCTTCCTTGCGAGAGCAGCCCTCGTGGGGTCCGGAAGGCGCGGCCTCCCGGCTCTTGGTCCTACCTTTGCTCGGAGCCCCCCACCGCGGAGGAAGCCTGGACCTGGATTAAACGCCGCCTCCCTTGGGTACATCACATACCGTCCATCGCAACCCACTCACAACTCCCGTGTTTCCCCTTCTGGAAACAGGAGCGACACTGGAGAAGCTGCGCAGCTCAGACGAGGCGGCCGCGCCCGCTGCCCATGGTGGCCCCAGCCCCGGGCCCCCCTCGGTCCTCCTTCTGAGGCGGTCTCAGTCCACTCGGCTTCTGCACGGCCCTCCCCCTTCCCTCCCCCGCCAGGCCACCGTCCACCCCGCACACAGGCACACCTGGGACTGCGGCGGGGCCGGGCGCTGCCACTCTGAAACGTCCCCTGCGCTGGCTGCCGTCTGCCCTCGGCCATGGGGTCACCTCTCTCGGGCCTGGCTCCTCTCGGGGAGCAGCTATGAGGAGCCCCCCGAGCTGCAGCAGCTGACCCAGGGCCTCCTCAGGGTGATGGGTGGCACGGGGTGGGGGGGGCAGGGCCCCAATAGCGCCAGCCTCTCCAGGGAGGGGGCACCCATCTCTCGCACACCACTCAGGAAAGCTCCGGGTGAACCCATACACGAGGGCCTTCAGGGTTTGCGAGAGGGAAGCAACCACCATTTCAGGAAAGAGGCGGGCCGCTGTGCAAGTGAGGAGCTCGGAAAAGCAAGCTGACCCAAAGTGCACAAAACCCAGAATCTGAGGGCCGGAAACCATAATGACAGCTGGCCAAGGATGCCAACGCTGAAAGCCTGGCAACGCGAGTCCCCCACCCAGACGCCCCAGACAGGCGGGGTGCATTCGGTGTCCACGTGGCCACTGCGGCCTGAAGGAGGCCATGGCACGCAGGCACAGCGGCTGAAATCGGACCCACCACGCTTCACACGCCGGTTCAGCCACTAGCTGGGCCGGTCTCTCCCACTCCTGAGGCTCGGCCTCTTCATCCGTAAAATCCAGGAGAAGCTGCCCGGCAGGAACGCGCTGTGTGTGAATGTGACATAGGACAGAGCACGCGGCTGGACCAGGAGTCCCGTGAAGTGGCAGCGCTCCATCCCAAGGCAGAGAGATTCACAGGGAAGTTCAAACGCCCTCGGGGCCAGGCCAGGGGAGACCTAGACCTGCTTCGTGGTGCCAGGAGGCTGAGGCTGATGTTCTAGGACGACACTTCCTCCCCAGGGGACAACAGAAAGCTGGAGGAAGGGTGAAGTCTCAGACCACTGGCCACAGAGAAGCGCTCTGTAGACCATGCTCCCGGTGACCCCCAGGCTGCAAAGCAAGAGTCCGAGACCACCTTGACTTTGTGGCCCCAGCAAACTGGCCGGGTCTGCCCAACCCGCCCCCACCAGAGCCATACCACCTCAGGGATGAGAAAGCCCCCACAGATCCAGTGCAGCAGCCCAACTGCCCCCAAGGCATCTAAAGGGCATCCCAAACTCACCATGTCCACTGGAGAATCCAGACCTACCCTGCACCCCCTCAGTTAAAAACTAAACCCCCGCTCATCCTGCAACTCCAGTAAGCACCAACCTGGACCCCCGTTCCGCTGGCCCTTCCCCTCTAAGTGGACAGACCCAGCCCTGCTCAGCGCCCCTCTGCTGGATAAGGCCAGCAGCCTCCTGCCTGCGGTTCCCTGTCCCGCCTCTGTCTGCTCCCCACCAGGCCCACAGGGTGCCTTTCACCAGGTGAAGATGGATAAAGCCCTCCGGGGTCCCCATTTCAGCCCCTGCCACCCAAAGAGCCCCGTCCCCTCCCCACCTCCTGCGTCTCCCCTGCCCTGCGCGGGTCTGCGGGCCAGCCTCTGGCCATGGCCCCTGTGGTCCTGCTGCCTGGACCGTCTCGCCGGGGGGTGCACAGGCCTCTGCAGGGCTCTGGTTCGGTGCCGTCCTGCAGGTGAGGAGTCCCGGGACCCCCTGCCCCACCCCCTTCTCTCACGTCCATGGCCTTGTGTCCCCCCCAGAACGCCCTGTCTCTCCCTCTGATGGAAACTGCCCCACTGCGATGGCGTGCTGAGCCCGGGCGAGCATGCTGCCCTGCCCGCCACGACAGGCCCTCCATAAAAACTTGCTGAAGACGAGTTAATGAGATAGAAATACACCCACGCTCTCCAGCCACTGGAAACATCCACGCTTGCCAGCCGCCAACCCCCCCCTCCACCCCCGCCCCGGCTGCCTCTGCCAGGGAGGCCTCCCAGCTCTCACTGTCCCACCAGGCCCATCAGGTAACCCCCCTCCTGCCCAGGGTCAACTGACATCTCCTCCATAAGCCGCTGCCCATCCTCCTGTGGCGGGGCAGCTCGGCAGGGGACCCACTGGCCCCTTCTCCTTGGGGACAGACAGAGCCCTGTTTAGTTAAACCATGGCTTCCCCAAATCAGAGGGCCTCCGCAGGTCGTTTGTCCAGCCTGTTGCAGCAAAATGAACACCCCCCTCCCCCCTCTTCCTCCCCCCAGGGAGCACATCCCAGACTGAAGGTCACCAGCCCTTGCTTCACTGCGGGGACAGGAACTCCGGACCCCGCTCTGGATCGGGTTAAACTGACATCGAGCGCGGGCCGCCGGCACCCCCTCGGGGTCCCTCCGTCACCAACCTCACAATCGATCCGAATGGTGCCCTTCAGACGCCGGCAGGCGGGTCCCAGAGAGGCGGCCCCGTCCGGGCGACACCTCCCAGGCCCCCAGGCCGCAGACCTCCCCGGGCCTTCACGACCCCGCGCCCGTCGCCCTCGGGGGTCTTGTCCCCGCCGCCCCCCCTCCCCCCGGCTCTCCCCAGCGCCGGCTCTTTGTCATCGGGTCCTGGCCCTTCCCCGCCCGCCGGCCTCCCCGGGGCCCCTACCCCCCGCCCCAGCCCGACCGAGCCCGTGGGCCGGCGGCGACACTCACCCGTGCCCGGCTCCCCGGCTCCGGGCCCGGGACTCCGCCACCAGCGCAGCAGCGCCCGCGCGGGGTCCAGGCTCACGGCGCAGCGCTGCTGCTTCACCCAGAGCACGGAGCGCAGCGGCTCCGCCGCCCCCATCGCGCCCGGCGCCCGGGGCGCCGCCTGCTCCGCCGGGCTGGGGGCGCGCGCGGCGCCGAGGGGCGCGGGACCGTTAGCGGCCCCCTGGAGCCGGCCGGGGCGCGGCGGCGGCGGCGGCGGCGCGGAGCGGGCGGGGCGCGGGCGGGCGGGCGGCGCTGCGTCACCCCGTACGCGGAGCGGCCGCGGGCACCGAGGAGGGGCCGCGGGCAGCGCGCGGAGGACGGCGAGGGCGGCCGGACGGAGCGGAGGGCCGGGCTGGGGGCCGGACGCGGAGAGATGGGGCGGGGGGGGGGGGGCGGCCGAGGGAGGCGGGGCGCACCCGGGGACGAGGAGGGGTCCGGGATCCCGTGGGGGACCCGGCGGCGGGGGGAGAAGGAGGCAGAGGAGGAGGGAGGCGGACGAGGGCGCGGGTTCCGAGCAGAGGAGCCGAGGAGGGGCCTGCGCGGAGAAGCGGGCAGGGTGCGGGTAAAGAGGAGGGGGCGGAGAACAGGGGAGGGGGCGGGCGATCGAGGACGCCGCTGGGCTGGGGTCGAGGCGCCAGGGGGCCGGCTGAGCTCTGGGGTTTAGCTCTGACCGGGCAGGAGGCGGCTTCCCCTGGCCGCCGACCGTAGGGTCTCCGGGCCAGGGTGACCTGGGGGCGTGGAGCTCAGTAGCGCCTCCCTGGCTGGTCGTTAGGACAGGCGGCGCCCTCCAGGGGCGCAGACAATGCTCCCCGGGCGGTCCTGAGGGTGCGGCGGGAGGGGCCTGGTTTTCGGGTGGGCGTGGACTGATCTGCCCCTGCTCACGCGGCCACCCTGGGCAGCTTGGCCGCCGGCGTCGGGCCGCATCTTGGATCCCCGTCTTCTCCTCTTGGAAATAAACCTGAAAACCTGGCAGGCACCCTCGGGAGGTGTGGACCCTGTTGGCCCCAGCCTGGCAGTGGACACCACCTCCTCTGCTTCTGGGGCCATCATCATGACCACCCGGGGTGCTCCAGGACCCCCCCATTCCTAAGGGGGGCAGTTTCAGGCACTGAGGGCTGAGCAGGAAGAGATGGAGCCAGCGTGTGAAGCAGGCAGTCTGAGTCAAAGGGCCCTGCCGGGCCCGCACGCCCAGACGGGACAGAGGTCCCCTGAGGAGGCCTGTCCTGGTCACAGATGGCAGAGGCGCGGCTCACAGGCCCTCCAGGGTCCAGCCACCCCTTCCTGCCCACTGGGGTATGTGTCTGGGCTGGGGGCTGCCAAGAGCAGCTCAGGGTCCCATAGCCCAGGTTCTCAAGGTCAGCCGTCCTGCACAGGCTGGGGTGCTGGGGAAGCCAGTGGAGGGGAGGGAGCTGCAGGCCGGCAGGCAGGAGGGCTCCCTGGAGGAGGTCTTCCCCCAGGGACCTGGGAGGAAGCTGGAGGGGGCCGCTGAGCTCTCCCCTCCCTCCTGAGCACGCCCAAGGAGAGGGGGCTCCTGTTCTGAGCCAGAAGGCACCACCCTGGCACCCCCGGACTCTCTTTCTCACCCTCCTGCTCAGCTCCACCGGCCCCTGTCTACAGGGGGCCTTCGCTGACCACCCCCTCAGACCAGCGGGGCTCCAGCCCCACTCTCAGAGCACATCCCACCCCCCGCCCTGCCCCCAGCTCCATGAGGACATGGACTTGCCTGGCGCCATGGCGCCAGCCCTGAACACACTGGGGCACGTAATAAGGGTGCCCACGTTTGTCCCGTGAGTGCACCTGTCGCAGACTCGTCACTGAAGAAGCTGCTGTTCAGAGCAGCAGCCTCCCAAGTGACAGGTCTGGCTCCAGAGGCCTGAACCGCCTGTGCCTGCTCCCTCCCCGCCTGCCCCCAGCTCTCCTTGGCTTCTGTGGCACAGGTCTTCCCTCGGATGGCGGAAGGGCGGGCACGCGGCCTTGTTGCCCATGCCTGGCACCAGGGAGCCACACGTACTGGTCTTATCCTGCCAGCTCCCTGTGACTCACTCCTGCTGGAGCCCAGCCCCCGTTCAGCCTGGGGCAGGGAGTCAGGAGCCAGGACAGGGCAGAGGGCGGGGGCGGGTTCTAGCTCCTCGCTTGGGCACAAGGTACCTGATCTCCCAGCCCGGTAGGGCCCTTGGCAGCGAGGCCTGTCCTGCCCCTTCCCTCCCACGGCTCTGAAAACGTGGATATGAAACTTCTTTGGAAATCTTGCGCCAGCACCGGGCGGGGGTGGTATCGCAGCGCTGCCCTGAAGTGTAATCAGGACATCAACCCTGAATATTCATTGGAAGGACTGATGCTGAAGGTGCAGCTCCAGTAGTTCGGACATGTGAGGCAAGGAGCCATTGGAAAAGACCCTGGTGCTGGGAAAGATTGCGGGGAGGAGGAGAAGGGGACAACAGAGGATGAGATGGTTAGGTGGCATCACCAACTGGATGGATATGAATTTGAGCAAACTCTGGGAGACAGTGGAGGACAGGGAAGCCTGGTGTGCTACAGTCCATGGGGTCGCAAGGAGTTGGACACGACTTAATGACTGAACGACAACAAGAACTGTGAAGAGCTATGGCAGGAACCAGCCGGCGGGCAGGGACTCCGAAATGCCAGCCCTGCAGTGGGACCTCTGCCTGGGGCCTCCCTGGGCTGGGCCCCTTCTGCCCTCTCCAGTCACTCATGTAGGGTCCTTGAATGCCATGGGTCAGCTCGTACAGTCCTGCATCCAAGGGGGCGCCCAGAGAGGACTCGGGTCCCCCTGCCCCCCACCCTCATCTCCTCCTTGGGGGAGGCCCCAGCATCAAGTACAGAACACTGGGGGGGCCCCAAGGGACCGCCTCCCCCTCCCTCGGTAGACCATAGGCCAGGCCAGGGTCTCCTAGTGGCTGCTGTGGGCAGTGTTGTGACTCCTAAAATCCGCACGCTGTGGTACTAGCCCCGAAGGACCTCAGAAGGTGTGTGTGGAGGTGATTAAGGTGAAGTGTGGCCTGTGGACCCCCATCCAGCGTGGCTGGTGGCTTTAGCAGGGGGGAGATCTGGACACTGCCACAGGGTGTGCTGGCACCCCGAGGGTCAAACACAAGAGGCCCCACTTGCAAGTCACCGAGAGGGGCCTCAGAGGAACCAAGCCTGTTGGCACCTTGACCTCGGACTTGTAGGTTCTCTGAACCGGAACTGGGGAAATAAACTTTTATTGTTTAAGCCACCCAGTCTGTGGCATCTTGCAGCCCTGGCAAAGCTCTCCTGTTGCCCTCCACGCCAAGGAGCTGTCCTCCTCGGTTTGGAGAGGGGCCTGGCCAATGCAGGACACTCATGCTTAAATGGGGGAGAAAGTATAGAAATAAAGTTCCCAGAAGACAGGCTTCCTGGGGTTGAGCTGCATGGGGAGAGGGCTGGGCTGGGGGTCAGGCCCCCCCAAGGGCTGTGGGCCTGTGACTCAGCACAGCGCTGGGGGCCGGGAAGAAGGAGGCGGCTTCACCTCCAGAGCCACTGGCAACCCCACCCCCACCCCTGCTGTGCCCCAGGTCCTGATGTGCCCCCCAGAGCTGGCCGCAAAGAGGAACCAGGAGCAGACAGCAAGCACCTTCACACGGCCGGGGCGGCGTGGCCCTCTGCTCAGGAAGTGCCCTCAGCTCCCTGGCTGGCCTTCCGGCCACCTCGCCGCTCACCTGTCCCATGTGGGGCCCTGGGCGGATGCCCTTCCCACCCGTCTGCCTGGCAAGTCCCGCTGGCGGTCTCCTCCAAGGTGGGTGAGTCAGGGGGGAGCTCTGTGGGGGCCTCCTCTGGGCTGCCCGTGCCTGGCCCCTCTCCACGGCAGCTCTGCCGGGCACACTGTCGCTGGCCCGCTGGGTGCACAGTTGACCGGTCCTCGGCGGGGCTTCCATGAGCCCTGGCAGCCCTCTGGGCCAGAGGGCAAGGGCTCAGCCTGGAAGCCTGCAGCCCTGGCCCTCCAGGCCCCGCCACCTGCCCTGTCCCGTGTCCCCGCTGCCAGCTTGGGCGGCTGCCTGGTGGCCCAACTGCCCTGCAGCCCGCAGTGGCCAGCTTGTCTGGGCACTGCCAGCACTGGCCAGCACCCCCTGGACTGCGCTGTGCCTGCCCAGGTCACCTCACTCGTGGGATGCTTGGTCTCTGAGGCACTGTCTGGGCGCACGAGCGCCCTGCTCGCCAGCTCATTCCTGCCCGAGGCCCACTGGCCTCTGCCCACTGAGCCCCGGCCACCTGCGGGCACCTGGCACCACCAGCTTCTTCCACCACCATCTGCTCCATGACCTCTGACCGACTTCCTTGCTGTCCTGGGAGCCCCTGGCCGTGTGGACCGCGACATCTGCCTGCTTATCTTCCCAGGCTTCCTCCCCACGAAGTCAGCACCTGACTTGACATCAGAACCCTGCGGGGTGTGGAGGGAACTCCTTCCCCAGCCGCACCTGCTGCCAGCAAGGCCACCTGCCACCCTCCACCCTGCACCCTTTGTCCTGGAGGAAGAGCTTCCAACTGCTGCGGGTCAAGGTTGACTGCCTGGAAGAAATGTCCAGGGGAGAGTAAGCTGATAAGTTACAAAAATGCACGTCCCTACATTGCTCCTGTGGGGGCTTCCAAGGTGTCACCAGTGGTAAAGAACCCACCAGCCAATGCAGGAGCTGTAAGAGACGCGGGTTCAATCCCTGGGTGGGGAAGATCCCCTGGAGGAGGGCATGGCAACCCACTCCATTATTCTTGCCTGGAGAATCCCATGGACAGAGGAGCCTGGTGGGCTACAGTCCACAGGGCTGCACAGAGTTGAACATGACTGAACGACTTAGCATGCATGCACACATGTTGCTCTTGTGACACAGTAACACCTCTGCACGTGGGAGTCCATTTTACACACGGGAAGACTGAGGCCGCAAACTAACCTGGCCTGCTCACACTCTACGGAAAGGTCACCAGCCGGCTGGGCGCCCCAGGGCCACGCCGGCATAGGAGGCTCTGGAATGTGAGGACAAGAGCACTCCAGGTCAGCCTGTGCCCCGGTGGGTCCCACCCTGGGCACTCCAGCAGGGCCACCCCTGGGGGCACACAGGACCCTCCTGCCTGATCTGCTCTTGTGGGTCCTCATCCAGACTCCCAGAGGGCGGACTGCAGAGGCTGTCTGCCCACCCAGGAAAGCCCTGAGTTTGGGCTGGCGTGGAGGGTGGCCCTCAGGGGTGGTGACCTCAGGGGTGGTGGCCCTCGGGGGTGGTGGTCGAGGGCCGACCTGAGCTGGAAGGGCCGGCTGGGGGGTGGGGCTAGCCGAGGATAACTCCACAATGGCCAAGGATCAAGGCCGCTCGCACCCCTGGGCACCGTGAGGAGGAGCGTGCCAGGGGAGGGTCAGGCCAGGATGGGGTCCAGTCTGGGCCCCCAGGCCTGCTCGGGTGAGCCAGCTGGGTCAGGCACTGACAGGTGCCTGGCCGTGTGTTCAGCAGTAGCCCTTCTCGTCTCCAGGGTGAGCCTGCGCTGCCGGGGAGGGGACGGCCTCCGCCGGGTCAGGGCCAGGGCCAGCCAGCAGTGAGGGGAGGAGCATGGAGGGGCAGGCGGGGCGGTCGAAGCCCAAAAGGCGCCGTCAGACAACAGGCCGTCCTGTCAGCAGCATCCGGGTTTCGCTGCCAGTGGGGACCAGGCCCAGAGGCCCTGAGAGTGGGTCCGCCTTGTCAGAGGTGGGGGCGTGCTGTTTGCGCTGCAGTAGGCTGTCTTGGAGAAGAGGCCAGATCCCCCGGGGGAGGGTCCTGGACTCTGGGGAGACTCCCCCTCCCCATCTCTGCAGCGGG